GATGATTATGTTCCTCTTCTGAATGGTCAGAGCAGATCACATTACCATACAAAATGACAGACTGATTCACAAGAACAAGCAAACACACAAAGTCTCAAAACACCTCCCAGCTACACGGTTGTAGCATACTAGTAGCACAGCTTTACAGTTTTCCATGCCTAAACTGGCATGTACAACATGCACACAGACATATGACAACACTGTGCCAGAAGGGATCCTGTGTACTGTATACACACCAACAACCAACTGAGTCATCAGTGCCACTGTGTTTATGCTACAAGTTGGATTGCCAAATTTCTGCACCCGTCAACATCCATCAGTAAAGTGTAGAGCAAACTTATAGGCTCTGTTGCTGCTTTGTGTAATTTTTTAGAAGATTTCCTTGTTTTTTGTTTTAAAAAAAACATGCAGTTATACAAGGTTTAAAGACAAAAAGCTACCAACAATATTTCTCTAAAAAGGTCAAATGCAAAAATATCAAAATTTGAAGTTTAAATATAAACTCTCATTAAAATCATGTTCTCTCCAGTCTCGTCTCACTCTCGTGAAATCAATATCGTGTCTTGTCTTGTAAGTTTTATGTATCCTTACACTCCTAGTTACAAGTGTCTAAAATGATGAGCCTGGCCATGGTGACAGTATTTTCTCTCAGTGGTATCTTTGGTGTTGTTCTTGGATGATGAAAGGCAGAGTTTGTCCTGTGGAGTAATCTGTAAATTGAGCCTCCTCAATGGAAAAAACAACAACAACAAAAAACACAGTCAGGCCTCAAAACTTGCTCCACTTGACTCGCGGACATTTCAGAGTGATGAGGGCTGATGAAAGCCTTTATGTGTTTGTACCCAGCCTTTTTGGCCTTTTAGTAGCCTAGAATTCCACAAAAAAACATTTCCAGTAGAAAATATTGTGATATAATATCGTATCTGTTAAAACAAACCTACATTTCGCTCACTCCTCCCTTTGTGTTAACTCTTTCTCTCCAGAATACTAAATGTTATCAGAAAAGCACATGAATGCATGTTACTTCAACCATAACAGTCTATGATTTACAGCCAACCAAGAAGCTCTTTTGAAATATTGATATTCTGATAAATGACATGGCAATAAGTACAATTTTGTTTTTTACGCTAATTTCTAATAAGAAAGAAAAAAAAGAAGGGAAGTGAACAAAAATAAAGACTTATAGATTAAAATATGTAATTACATTTCTGTGCCCTTTTGCTTAGGTAGTTTATTTCATTATAAATGTATAAAAAAAGGATGATTTGATACGTGTAGTAAACTATAAATTGTATTAGGGCCTCTTGAGAAAACATGTATATAAGTTTTAAGTGTAAGTCAAAATGTTGAGGAAAAAAGTTAAGATACAGATTTTAAATGTTTGAAATGTTTTTTTTTTTGAAAAATAAAGTTATTTTGGAATAGAAAGGAATGAAACCAGCACAGCCACAGAGACCCACCATAACCCATAATGCCGTCGTCGTCGTCTTCCTCCGCTTATCTGGGTCCGGGTCGCGAGGGCAGCATCCCAACTAGGGAGCTCCAGACCGTCCTCTCCCCAGCCACTTCCACTAGTTCCTCCGGCAGGACCCCAATGTGTTCCCGGACCAGATTGGAGATGTAACCTCTCCAACGTGTCCTGGGTCGACCCGGGGGCCTCCTGCCGGCAGGACATGCCGAAGCACCTCCCCAGGGAGGCGTCCAGGAGGCATCCTGACCAGATGCCCAAACCACCTCAGCTGACTCCTTCCGATCCGGAGGAGCAGCGGTTCTACTCCCTAGTCCCTCCCGAATGTCAGAACTCCTCACCCTTTCTCTGAAGCTGAGCCCAGCCACCCTACGGAGGAAACTCATTTCGGCCGCTTGTATCCGCGATCTCGTTCTGTCATTACCCAAAGCTCATGAACATAGGTGAGGATTGGGACGTAGATCGACCGGTAAATCAAGAGCCTGGCTTTCTGGCTCAGCTCCCTCTTCACCACGACAGATCGGCTCAGCGTTCGTATCACTGCAGATACTGAACCAATCCGCCTGTCGATCTCCCGATCCCTCCTACCCTCACTCGTGAACAAGACCCCGAGATACTTAAACTTCTCCACTTGAGGTAAGACCTCTCTCCTGACCCAGAGTTGGCAAACCACCCTTTGCCGGTTGAGAACCATGGTCTCAGATTTGGAGGTGCTGATCCTCATCCCAGCCGCTTCACACTCGGCTGCAAACCTATCCAGCAAGAGCTGAATGTTAGAGCTGGATGAAGCTAGGAGGACCACATCATCCACAAAAAGCAGAGATGAGATTCTCCTGCCACCAAACTCGACACACTCCACACCACGGCTGCGCCTAGAAATTCTGTCCATAATGGTTATGGACAGAACCGGTGACAAAGGGCAGCCCTGGCGGAGTTCAACCCTCACTGGGAACAGGTCCGACTTACTACCGGCTATGCGGACCAAACTCACGCTCCTCTGGTAAAGGGACTGAATGGCCCTTAACAGAAAGCCACCCACCCCATACTCCTGGAGCGTCCCCCACAGGGTGCCCCTGGGGACACGGTCATAAGCCTTCTCCAAATCCACAAAGCACATGTGGATTGGTTGGGCAAACTCCAATGCCCCCTCCATCACCCTTGCAAGGGTATAGAGCTGGTCCACAGTTCCACGGCCAGGACGAAAACCACATTGCTCCTCCTCAATCTGAGATTCAACTATAACTATAACCCATAATGCCTCTGTGATAACTTTACCTCAAAAGGTTTGAATGAAAGGCACAATCACCATTCACAGCTGCACACAACCAATAAAAAACCTCCAACAATTACCAGTGGCTTGGGCCACAGCAGCTTTACCAGGAAATAAAAACAATAATAAATCATGTTCATATATGCTCCAAATGGTTTGAGGTACAGTACTGAGGTTTTAGGCAGGCGTGAAAAAGCACTAAACAAAAAAATGCTTTCAGAAATATCAATAACCATTGTTTATTTTGATCAGTTTATAAAATGCTAAGTGTGTGACTCTAAACATGCAGCCAACGTAATTAGGAACTATCTTGAGCGTAAAAAAAAAAAAACAGGAAGTCCTGAGTGATGGTCTGGCCCCCTCAGAGCCTTCATCTCAACATCATGGAGTGTGTCTGGGATTCCATGAAGAGACAGAAGGATGTGAGGAAGCCTACATCCACAGAAGATCTGTGTTTTGTTCTACAAGATGTTTGGAACAACAACCTACCACTCCAGTTCCTTCAACAACTGTGTTCAAACTAGAAGAACTTATGCTGTTTTAAAGGCAAAGGGTGGTCAAACAAACAAACAAACAAACAAACAAACAGTCACACTCCAAACTCCACTATGGCAAAGACCAAAGAGCTGCCTAAAGACACCAGAAGCAAACCTGCAGTAGGCTGGGAAGACTGAATCTGCACTAGGTAAGCAGCTTGATGTGAAGAAATCAGCTGTGGGAGTAATTATTAAAAAGTGAAAGACATACAAGACCAGTGATAATCTCCCTTGATCAGGGGCTCCAGACAAAATCTCACCCTGTGAGGTCAAAATGATCACATGAACGGTGAGCAACAATCCCAGAACTACACAGGGGAACCTAGTGAAAGACCTGCAGAGAGCTGGGACCAAAGTTACAAAGGCTACCATCAGTAACACATTACACCGCCAGGGACTCAAATCCTGCAGTGCCAGATGTGTACCCCTGGTTAAGCCAGTACATGTGCAGACCTGACTGAAGTTTGCTAGAGAGCACTTGGATGATCCAGAATTTGATTGAGAGAACCACAGATGGTCAGATGAAACCAAAATAGAACTTTTTGGTAAAAACTCTACTCGTCATGTTTGGAGGAGAAAGAATCTTGAGTGTCATCCCAAGAACGTGTACCTACTGTATAGCATGGGGGTGGAAACATCATGCTTTGGGTATGTTTTTCTACAAAGGAACCAGGACCACTGATCCATGTAAAAGAAAGAATGAATGGGGCCATGCATCATCAGATTTTGAGTTAAAACCTTCCATCAGCAACGGCATCGAAGATGAAATGCGGCTGGGTCTTTCAGCACGACAATGATCCCAAACACACCACCCAAGTGATGGAGGAGTGGCTTCATAAGAAGAATTACTAGGTCCTGGAGTGTCCAAACCAGTCTCCAGATCTCAACCCTATAGAAAATCTTTGGAGGAAGTTGAAAGTCTGTGTTGCCCAGCAACAGCCCCAAAACATCACTGCTGTAGAGGCGTGGGCCAAAATACCAGCAACAGTGTGTGAAAACCTCACAAAGACTCACAGAAAACATTTGACCTCTGTCATTGCCAACACAGGATAAATAACAGTAAAATCACTGAGATAGACTTTTGTTTTTGACCAAATACTTTTTTAATTTCACCATAATTTGCTAATAAATTATTTAAAAATTCAGACATTGTGATATTATGGATTTTTTAAATCATTTTGTCTCACAGTTGAGTTACACCTGAGATGAAAATTACAGGGCTCTCATCTTTTTAAATAAGTTTTTGCCCCACTGTAGATTTCTCTTGTCTTCATTCACTGATTTTTATTGATTGATGAAAATAAATTATTAAAACTTCCAGTTTTTAAGAATACTTTGTTCACAACCTTTTTTTACACCAACTCAATGTACAAGACTCTCATTCTGAAGGATTGAATGAAGGTCCCGAGTAAATCTTCCTTGACTTCCTTGGTTATTATTTAGACATTTCTCAGAAAATTAGCATGTCGACGTTCTTCAACAATTCAACTTTAATCTTGACACGTCCTCCAGACATAATGCTCTTTTTTTAGTAAACAGAGAAGTAAACAAAAACTAACACTCAAAGCCCTAAATAAGGCAAATCAAAATAAATAAATATAAACATGCATTTCTGTCAGTTTAAGTGCACATCTCCTCCTCCTGGCCCAATCAGAAACATCCCAGTTTATCAAGCCTTTACATTTAAATGCATTGAGAATCACCTCAACCCATTTAGTTTTCCTACCTGCAGAGTGAGATGACTCCACTTCTCTGGTAGAAGTCGTCCCTCTGTGCTAAAGCTGACTGTGAGAGACGTCTGACCCTTTGAGTGACCGTACCGCAGGGTCACGGACTTCTCTGACACAGTCAGAGAAAAAACCAGACGCTTTCCAAAACTCTTCTCCAGCAGCATCCTGCAAGAAAGAGAAAATCAGGAACATAAACAACAAAGATGAAATAATGCAACCATTTTTTACAGTCCACAGGAACGAACTGAATATTTAGAAGACATGAATTACTAAGACTTAAATCAGAAAACGAAGGTACAAATGGACACCGAGACCAATGGAGTCCAGCACCACTGCACAGTCCTTCATTCTGACATTTTTCCATAGATTATTAATATTTTACATGACTGTGAGGGTTCAGCCGCTACACTGCGTGCAGGTTCGCACACCCGCAACGTGTCATATTAACCACTATCACTGACATTTTATGGGAAATCATGGTTTTTATGAACCCGGAGCAGCATATCTAATAAATCACAGATACTGTAAATGCATTCACAAGAAAGGGAACATTTAAATTCACAGAATAGAATACACACATGCACACATTTGCACATGCGGGTGCACATCTGTGCCTGTGAATCTGAGGAAATGTATAAATTAGCACTATAAGACTGAAAGAAGGTAAAATACCTAACAAATTAAACAATTATCTTCATTTAAATTTAATGTATACAGTGATGAAATGAACAATGACTGTTTTCAAATAAAATTTGTGTTTGTGGCATTTGTTGTTTCTTTTTTTTCTGGGGGGATAAATGAATGGCTTTTATGCTTTTTGTTGTAGAACTGTCTTTATCTATATTTAAGCCGGTAGTTTACAGCTTTTCTCAAATGCTAAAACACAAAAGGCAATCCTCTAAACCAAATGACCAGTTGTCTAAACACATTTACTAAATCTAGCCATCATTTTCCAACATCATAAACACATTTCACATGAAGACACAATTCACAAAACACAATCCTCCGTTCTCATAAATCTCAACACATTTCTCCTTGCTAAAACACAAGTTCAAAAGAACTCTGCTCATATTCTCAAATGAAAGCTCATGTGATGCCAAATGCTTGCCACAGTCAGCACTAATTGAACACAATGAACACACCACCTGCCGTCATTCATTACACACAATGACTCAAAATTGAAGACACTTGTTGCTAATGCTGTGACCACATCTCCTCACCTTCCTAGAGGAGCTAAAAGACATCCTCCTGGACCGCCAACAACACCATCCTGGACCCACACATCACATTTATGTGATCATTTGGGACAGTGTCCGCTTCCACAGAACAAACCAAATCAGAGAGTGGTTCACCACCAACAGTAACCACTTTTTAAATGTCTGTCTGCCACCCTACTCCCCTTTCCTGAACCATATAGAGGAGTTCTTCTCATCGTGCAGATAGAAGGTTTATGACAGACAACCATACACTAGAGATGTGGTGACATCACAGTGGAGGCCTTACAAGGATGGATTCGCCAATCCAGGGCGTTTTTCCCACGGTGCCTGGCAAGAGACAATATAGCCTGCGATGTGGATGAGGTGATGTGGCCCGATGCAGCTCAGAGGCATGATGTGTGTGTGTGAGCGTGTGTGTGTGTGTGTGTGTGTGTGTGTGTGTGTGTGTGTGTGTGTGTGTGTGTGTGTGTGTGTGTGTGTGTTGTGGATAAAGTAAATAAAAAAAATTCACACCCTGCTCATGTTTTCAAGAGTACTGTTGTGTGCAATAGTAGTGTACATGCAGAATTTTCTATAGATTTATACTCTTCATATGAAACTCGCAAATCTACATGCCTAATTCTCTGCAGAGATCTAAGAAGATCCGTAACTGTAAAGTTTCTAAAATGGGCAAATTGGCAGTTATGAAACAAAACAACAACATTACACTCCTTTTCTATAATGTGTGAATTGATTTATGTTTAGGTGCTTTTTGGACAAATCTAGATAATACAGCCAAACCTCCTGGCTCAAATTAGTATTTTTTTATGTTATATTCATTAAAATGTACCTTAATGAAAGCCACTGCCTGAAGGAAAGACAAGACTGCACCCATTCATATTACCCAAATACAAATGTTACCAGATAGTTTTATTATGAGAAATAAAATAATGCTGTTATAATCCATTGCTTGTGTGTTTTTTCATTCATTATAACACATTTAGATATATCTTTTGTCTGAAATGATTAACGGAGTTCCCTCAGGATTATTTGGACATAGAGCAGTACTATACAGTACTATGTGGTTCATGTGCAGACTGTGGCAACTTCTTAATGTTTACTTAATGCTACTGTTTAAACAAGGATGATCTAATTATCAGATCTGTGATTATTGTTTGTAAAATTGTTCATCTGGAGATTTAGATGACAGAAGTGTTTTGTTGCCTTGGCCTGGTGAACTTGACACCTGTAAACTTGGATGTGTCTCGGTGAAAGTCAGATCTCCCTTCACTCAGTCACTGTCTCTGTTAATCTTGTTGGATATCAGTTCTTTTGTTGTACAGACAATCATGGCTGCCATCAAAGAAGTCAGATGAAAGGAGGTCTCTGTACTCACCTCTGTCCACAGCCCTAACCTCACTTTCTTTGTCTTCTCCTGTGATTTCACATCCCTCCCCTCATGTGAACAATAAACAGAGCCAGCCACCTGGTCCTATAAACCACAGCTTTTATTACACCAAGACTTTTCACCAATTATAAATTCACGTCTGTTGTTTGAAGATCCTGAATTTAGTTTGTGAAAGCTACATGACCCACACTATCCTACACAACCCAATACATAAAGCGTCAAACTGCGATTTAAATAATATAACATTATGATTCCTTAGTGTGCACAATAGGTAATAGATCACTGAGTAAAGTGCAGAGGGTTATCTCTAGAGTCATGCTTCCACAAAGTAAAAAATCTAAAATGTTCCATTTCAATCCAACATTTTTAAATGAATTAGTTTGAAACGTTGCCCGGCCCAGAATTGCTCATGCGGGCCTGTTGTCACTTTTGCTGATGGAAGAAGAGAAAGTGTTGCTGAGAAGAGTCAACTGATCTCTTACGTGTGTTTGTGGCGTCTGGGTTCAGGTGTGTGTGATTGCAAACTGATCCGAGTGTGTGTAACTGTGCACCACACTAACCAAGCCTGGAACCTACCAACACCATCGTTATTCCCTTTCTCTTTCACACAAGATGGCTAAGTAGGACATGACAAGATCACCGTTTCCTGATGGTGACCTGAGCAGATCTGAACATGCTTATTATAGATCAGTTTCACTTGGTCGTCTGTGGAGTGATGTCAGAAATGATCTGACCAGCAGCACTGGAGGCTACATTTATTCAGTAAGAGAGTAAAAATATTATCTCATAAACCAATAAATAAACTTGTAATTGGACATAAATGGAAATCACAACAATCAGATTTCAACATGAAAAATCCACACTTCGTTTGAAATGTATAATAAACATTTGGGTGTCGTTCGGTACAGGAACCATGCCAACATTTAAAATACAAATGATCTTGGGCTGATACCATTGTATTAAAAGCTTGAAAATAACGTTATCTACAGTGTTACACATAAATGAGGATCTTTTGCAATGAATCAATGAGTGATAGAGATTGCTCATCAAATATAAAGTCAAGCATTGCTCAGTATTTGTAAAATTGAGTTATAAGGTGTGTCCAAATCCAGATGCTGCATTCTTGGGAGTTTTGGTCCTATCTGGCCCACGTAGGTCGGGTCCTTCCTGGGCCGTTAAGACCAGAAGTTAGAGGTCGATAATTTGGTTGGTCTATCCTTCATATTTATTCCCACTCCTACCTCAACTTATGTCTTGTTTCCAAACAACCTTGATGGCACTTTACAAAAGTTCAAACTAAACTTAGCTGCAATATAAGAATAAATACAGGACCCGTTATACAAGCTTGTTGGAGTATTTTTCATATTTTTGACCCCAAAAATATGTAAAGAACAAATATGTGAAGAAAAAAAAGTGTTATCACCAGATACTAATATACTAACATTTAAAAGTGTAATCCTCAACTGCTTCACACACACACACACACACACACACACACACACACACACACACACACACACACACACACACACACACACACACACACACACACACACACACACACACACACACACACACACACACACACACACACACACACACACACACACACACACACACACACACACACACACACACACACACACACACACACACACACACACAAACAGTGGCAGCATTGTTGTCACAGCAGGTCAGTATGGCTTCCATTTGTCTCATTTACCGATTGCTGAGGTTGTTGAGCAAACTTTGACCATCAGACACAAGTACAAATGTATCCATAACACACATTATGTATTCTGTTTTCTACCGATTCATTCACTCCTCCACACACTCCAATTCTTTCAGCCCTGGAGAGGATTTAATGTGACAACAGCATTAGTCATGCCCACTGCACTGACTGGCTATCTGATAGTCCTCTCAAAGTGTCAACTAGTGCGATTGCCTTTTCGAGAATCGCTGCCCTGCGTCACAGCAGGACAAATGTATTCAGAGGCTGGTGCCACGGCAACAGACTTCTGAGACACCATTTCCTTACAAACAATGTCATTTGAAAGTGTTGCCTTTATTAGGAATGATACACTGTAGTGTAAAGTGCTTTGGAGCCCTCTGACTCTGAAAGGCGCTATACAAGTGCGGGTTGTTTATTATTTATCATTATCAACAATATGTAATAGTTTATTTTTCCTCCTGGTTGGTAAATGAGTAAAATAATCTTTTTTGGAAAATATTCTGTCCATCAGTTTTTAGACTTGTTTATTTCTGCTGAATATATAACTTCACAAAAGTATTTTAATTGTGTGTTTGTGTGTGTAACAGTTCAAACACAAAATACTTTCAATCTAATGCAATTCTGGCTGCATAAGCACTTAAACACTTATCATTTTCCTATTTGTGACCCTGTCAGAATTTTTGTCCATATTCACCTCTTATAGCCTTGCAAAAAATGCAGAATATGCATTACATATGCGATTAATTTGGAAATAGCTTCCTATGAGTTCTGGCATGCCACACAACAAAGACAAAATTTGATTAACAACCTTCCACACGAACAACAGAGG